CAGTGAAATGCTCTCTACTAAAAATACAAAAAAATTTACCCAGGTGTGTTGGGCAGGTGCCTGTAATCCAGCTACTCAGGAGACTGAGGGAGGAGAATGGCTTGAACCTGGGAGGTGGAGGTTGCAGCAAGTCAAGATCATGCCACTGCATTCCAGCCTGGATGAGAGAGGGAGACTCTCTATGACATGCTTGAACTTTCTGACTTGTCCTATCTTTCCCTATTCTCCAATAATGAGTCATTCTGCTTTAGGATGACTAATTTACTCTAAGAATTTGCCATACAAGATCCTCTCTCACGTAAAAATTTCTTTTTTTATAACATTTCTAACCATAAACACATCTTCATATCCACAATTTTCTTTGTATCTCTCCTCCCTACTAATTTCTTATGCCTACCCAAATCAAAAAAGATCAGGTAATGTAAGGTGAAACAGTAGAGCCTTAGATTTTGAGAGGGACCTGTTTGCTTACAGTTCTTGGGATTCCATGAGGAAAAGAGAAGTTTCTCTTAAAAAGGGGTCTGTGGCACCTTCTGTTTTTCCTGTGGAGTCCCAGGCTGTCAGAAATTATCTCAGGTCCTCTCATGTGGGCACTGAGAGTGGCAACAAGACAAGGAAAATAATTCAGACAACTAAGAAGAAAAAGAAAAACTTAGTACTATCTTCATTGTAAAGGCAGATAAACTGAGCACCATGCAGTTTAAAATTTTATGTTCACATAGCGTTAGACTCCACAGCTCTCTCTTTTAACCATCCTGTAATTCTGCTGACTCTATGTCCAGTCACTGATGCACTTGTATGGTAGCTCGTGGCCCCTTACAGCTTGGAACCTGGGTTTCATTTCCTGCTCTACAGGTGTATAAGTTAACAATTTTTCTCCAGGTTTGTTGGATTCTAATCTATATATCCCAAATTTTATTAATATTACTGAATATTAAAGGGGGCTGTGATATCTTTAGTCTGTAGAAATATTAAACAACCTACAAACAAAGGACTGTATAGGTTAAACAGTATAGAAATTTCTATATGCTTTAAAACATCGAGGCAATGTCTTGAGAACACAACCTAAGAAACTGCAACCAATCCACTCTGAACAAAATTTAGACACTATTCTTCAATATAAGCTGTCTAGTGGCATTTTTACATATCCTTACGTATATCAGAGTAGTTTACATGCTCATAACCTTAAAAATAAAAAGTGTCAAAGTTATAGACCCTATGCATTTCTGTGGCTTGAAAAATGATACAATATAGATTGTTTCTTTAAAGTAACCGATAAAATGCATACACTTCTAGAGTAATCACTAAAACAAAGATTTCATACCAAAGGTAGTAATACCATAAATAAAACAGGGTTCAACACTGCAGTTTCTTAAAGGCAAAAGTTAATACTTTGTTTTGGTTGTGAATCTTGGCCTTAAAACATTGTACACATGATTCTCCCCGTCCTTTTCCTTTGCAAAGATGCGATGAACCAGATTTGCTCATGCAGATGACAATACTCTCGAAAATGGTGGCAGAGAAATAAAATGAAGGGAATATAGTTCACTTAATAACCTCATAAATTGGAACTAATTACCCCCGTGGCTCTTGCATAGCTCCAGACTAAGTGAGAGAGATGAAAGGGCTGTTTGCTAGCAATATTTTATTTGATGCTTCATTTTTGATTCCTTGAATAACTACTTACATCACATTAACAGGATCATGAAAGTATAGCTATTCAAGTAACCATAATTAGGCAATCAATGTTTTTCCTCATCTCTAAAGCATAGTAATGGACCGATTATTTTATGAATACAACTCACTGACAAGTAGTTTATTTTTAACTCAGTTTTGGTTTGTTGTTTGTTAAGGCCATTGCTTAGGATAATGAAAACAAGAGGAGGAGAAACAAGAATAGAAACAAGAAACTGAAGCAGCAGCATAAGAAAATGAAGACGAACAAGATGATGATTAGATGAAAAAAAAAAACAGATTGAAAGAAAGGAAGACGAACAGGTGCGGGAATTAGAAAGCCCTTTATGATACTTTATTTCCCCTCCTGATTTATGAAATTTGAAAAAAATCCAAGACTTTTCACAACAAAACCAAGCTAAAAGATACACCAATAAGTCACCCCCTAAATTTTGTTAAGAATAAGACAATGTTGCCACTCACACCTGGGCCAGGCACCAGCAGGAGGAGGACACCTCCAGACTCTGCAGGAGAAGAAGGAGGACTCCTCCTTGCGCAGGCTGTGCCTCCCCTGCTGCCAGCACCTGCAGTACAGCACCTGCAGCTTCCTCCCCACCTCAGGCCGGGCTGGGCCTGGTGGGCTCCACAGCATTCCCACTCCAACTTCTCGGATCCCAGACTTGCTGCTGCTGCCACCACTAACGCCAACACGATCACCGCTGCTGTTCCCCTCAATGCACCACCCTACAAGCCTCCTACCACCTGGCCCCCGTCGATAATCTCCTACCATTGCAGTCGAGCTGCAGTCTCTGTCTCCGCCACCAATTGCAGCGAGGCAAGCCACAGAACCACACCGTCTGCAAGCTCCTGCCTCCAGCATGCAACAGGTGACTCCTCCATCTTCTGACTCGAAGCATCTGGGTGGTCAAAGCCAGACATGCCTAGAACAGGACGCAGGGAGTGGGAGTGTTAGAGGTTCACCTTGTCATGCTGGCCACTGGGTGGCAGGGGCTGGTTTCAGCGAAGGCACAACTGGGGTGGGTGTTACTGCCTTTGCTGAAACGGGCCCCTGGATAGGTAGAGCTGGCCAGGAACTGCTGGTCTTACCCTGGCTGCACTCCTTGTTGTACAGGAGAAGCAAAAACTCAGACCCAGCCAGCCCTCTCCAACCAAGTGCTAGTTCCTGTTTCTGATGCCTCCACCCACAGGGCCCTGTTTTCCCGTGGTGCCCACTACTCCCGGGTAGGGAGACCCAGGTTGTCTCTGCAACACAGTGAGAGGCTGCAGACCTGGGAATCATGGCGGGTGTTGGGGCCTTACCGTGCTCAGGATTCCCTGGGAAACACTGCGTGCCTGCCACGCTCCAATATGAGCAGAAGGAGGTTGCCCTCTAGAATCTAGAGTCTGGGAAGAGGAAGACGGCCCCTTTCTCGGAGACCACAGCTATGGCTGCCACCTCTGTAGACCGCTGCTAGCAGCAGCAGTGCAGTGCAACCCCCAATAGAGCTCCCATGCTACAGGGCACGTAAACCTGATAGTGCCCCCAAATCACCTCACTGCCCCCATCTGTGCAGCCAGGGATAGTGCCCCTAACCAGCTGGGGGTAGTGACAGCCCAGATAGCGCTCCCAACCTGCCCCCTGTCATAACAGTGCAGGAGCTGATAGCGCCCCTAACCCTCTTCCCAGCTGGTAGTGCGGCCCCAGTAGCACACGCAACCACCCCCACCACCAGACAGTATAGCCAACCCCGCCGTCCCACGCCCCCAACACCCCACCCGCAACGTGACCTTGATAGGACCCTGTCCAGGGTAGTGCATCCCTGGAGAGCTCACCTACCCTGCCACCTTTCTACCATGTTGGCCAAGCTGCAATCTCCCTCACCTCCACAAACCTCAGTGAAGCGAGCCTAGGTGCCACAAGCTCAACCCTCCAGCTTGTGGTATGTGGATCCCACTTCTGGTTCTCTAAGCTGGGCTCCCAGCTTCAATTCTGATTGGATGAGAGCAAGTCTTAGGACAACCAATCACAGCATGAAAATAAAGTCCAATCAGGATAGGCCTAGAGGTTTTCTCTCATCCAATCAGAATATGTAGTCCAGGAACCTTATTTGCATAACCTCAGTATATAAAGCATGCAGCGGGGACATCCCACCATTTCAGGCTTTTACGTGGCTGTCTGTCCGGCTGCTCCGTGCAAGGCTTAGAGGACCAGGAGAAGGAGTCGTCACTTGCCACGGCTAGAGGCTGGAGCGGCACCACAGCTCGCCTCGCTGTGGTAGGTGCTGATGACAGAGACAGCAGCTCCGCTGGAGCGGTGGGAACGGGTAAGTAGTTTTGGGGTAGTTAGAGGGATAAAGAGAGTGGTTAGCGGCAAAGGGAAAAATAGGATGGCGATCAGGAAAAGGCATTGCAAAAAGACGGTGGGGAAAAGATGGTTGGAAAAAAAGTTTTTGGGTAGATATTGGGGGGAAAGAGGGTGGGAAGTGGGAGGAGGAAAGAGAGGGGGGTGGGAAGGAACGGGCAAGTAGGAAGGAGAGAAAGTTTGCAGTTTTTAGGTATATGGAGGGGGAAAAGAGGGTGGCAAGCGGGGGAAGGAAAAAGAGGGTGGCGAGTGGGAGGGAAGCAGGGTTTTGCCAAAAGACGGTGGGCGGAAAAGACAGATGGTGGGGAAAGAAAAGACAGAGACGGTGGGTAAAAAGCGGGTAGATGCAGTGGGAAAAGAGGGTGGCAAGTGGGAGGAGAAAAGAGGGTGGTGAGAGGGAGCGGGGAAAGAGGGTTAGGAAAAAGATGATGGGGAAAATAGTTTTGGGGTAGATGGAGGGCAAAAGGAGAATGGTAAGGATTAAGGAAAGAAGAGGGTGAATGGGAAGAGGGGGAAGGATTTGTGAAATTTGGGGGTGTAGATGGAGGAAGAAGGAGTGGCAAGCAGGAGTGGGGAGAAGGCTTTGAAAAGACAGTGGGGAGATGTTTTTGCATAGATGGAGAATGTAAAGAGGGTGGCAAGAAGGAGGAGGGGAAAGACGATGGGGAAAACAGTTTTTAGGTAGATGGAGGTTGGAAAAGAGAGTGGTGAGCAGCAGGAGTGGGGAGAAGGCTTTGGGAAAAGACGAGGGGAAGTTTTTGGATAGATGGAGGAACAAAAGAGGGGAATGAGAGCAGAAGGGAGAAAAAGAGGGTGTCCAGTGAGTGGGGGAAAACAGTGGAGAAAAGTTTTGGGGTAGATGGATGATGAAAAGAGTGGTGAACGGGAGAGTAGAGAAGGCTTTGCGAAATGACAGTGGGGAAAAATAGTGGGAAAAAAGCTTTGGGGTAGATGGAGGAAGAAAAAGGGTGGCGAGAGGGAGGGGGTCAAAGGTGGTTGGGAAAAGAAGGTGGGGGACAAAGTTTTTGGGTAGCTCTTTTTTCTGATTTCTTAAATCAGGTTATTCGTATTTTTGCTTTGAGTAGTTTGAGTATTTTATATATTTTGTGTTGCATTAACCCCTTGCCTGATGCATAGTTTGCAAATACTTTCTTCCATTCTGTGGATTGTTTCTTCATTCTACTGATTGCTTCCACTACTTTGCAAAAGCTTTTAAGTGTAATGCAATTGTATTTCGTCTATTTTTGCTTTTTGTTGCTTGTGCTTTTGGTGTACATATTTGGAAATCCCTTGTGCTAGCCAGTTTCACAAAGCATTTTCCTATGTTTTCCTCTCTAGTAGTTTCATAGTTTCAGGTCCTACATTTAAATATTTATTTTGAGTAAATTTTTGTGTATGGTAAGATAACAGCCTAGATGGATTCTTGTACATGTGGGTTTTGGGTTTTCCTAGCACAGTTTATTGAAGAGATTGTCCTTCCCCAATGTGTGTTTTTGGTGCTTTTGTTAAAAGTTGACTGTGAAAGCTTGAATTTATTTCTGAGTTCTCTATTTTGTTTCATTTGTCTATGTCGGTCTGTCACTAGTCTGTCTCTCTGTCTCTCTTGTCTCTTCTCTAATTTTTTTTTTTTTTTTTTTTTTTTTTTTTTTTTTTTTGCCACTACCATGTTGTTTTGGTTACTAGATTTGTGGTGTATTTTGAAATCAGGTAGTATGATGCCTCCAGTTTTTTTTTTCTTTTTATTCAAGATTCTTTTGTCTGTCTGAGATATTTTGCATTTCCACGTGAATTTTAGGATTTTTTTTTTTTTTTTTTTTTTTGAGACGGAGTCTTGTTCTGTTGCCCAGGCTGGAGTGCACTGGCGTGATCTCGGCTCACTGAAAACTCTGCCTCCTGGATTCAAGCTATTCTCCTGCCTCAGCCTCCTGAGTAGCTGGGATTACAGGCATGCACCACCATGCCCAGCTAATTTTTGTGTATATAGTAGAGAAGGGGTTGCACCATGTTGTTCAGGCTGGTGTCAAATTCCTGACTTTGTGATCCAAGTGGTTTGGCCTCCCAAAGTGCTGGGATTACAAATGTGAGCCACCGTGCCTGGCCGTTTTTGTTTTGTTTTGTTTTGTTTTTTGTTTTCTATTTCTATGAAGAATATCTTTCCTAATTTAACATGGATTCCATTGATTCTGTAGATCACATAGGGTGATATAGATATTTTAACAATAATCTTCTAGTGCTTGAACATGGGATATCTTTACATTTACTTGTGTTGCTTTAATATCTTTCATGTATGTTTTATAGTTTTAATTGTGACATCTTTCACCTTTTTGGTTAAGTTTATCTCTAGGTATCTTTTTTGGGAGGCATTGGGTAACTACTGCAATGAAATAGCTTTCTTGATTTCTTAAGTATTTCACTATTGGTACATAGGTGTGCTACTCATTTTTATATATGGATATTGTATCTTGCAACTTTATGAAATGTTTATTATATCTAGTAGGATTTTTGTGGAATTTTTAGGGTTCTCCATATATATATGATCGTGTCACCTGCAAACAGTGACAATTTGACTTCCTTTTATTTCCAATTTGGATGCCTTTTGTTTCATTCTCCTAAGTGCTCTAGCTAGGACTTCAAGTACTGTGATGAATAAAAGTGGTAAAAGTAGCCACACCTGTTCCAGATCTTAGATGAGGAGCTTTTAACTTTTCCCCATTGATTATGATGTTAGTTGTGGGTTTGTCATATATGGACTTCATTGTGCTGAGATGAGTTCTACTGTTGAGGCCCTCTCATGCATTTTTCAGTTCATCCATTGCATTTTTCAGCTTTGAGGTTTCTGTGGCCTTTTAAAATTACTTCCATTACTTCTCTATATTTGAATTTCATTGAGTATCCTCAAAACAGCCATTTTTACTTCCTTGTCTGGAGAATCTCACATTTTTTTTTTTAAGATGGTGTCTTATTTCATCACCTATGCTGGAGTGCAGTGGCACAATCTTGGCTCACTGCAACCTCCGCCTCCCAGGTTCAAGAAATTGTCCTGTCTCAGCCTCCCAAGTAGCTGGGACTACAGGCACCTGCCACCACACCCAGCTAATTTTTGTATTTTTAGTAAAGACGGGGTTTCACCTTGTTGGTCAGGCTGGTCTTGAACTCCTGACCTCAGGTAATCCACCCACTTTGGCCTCCCAAAGTCCTGACAGGTGTGAGCCACTACACCCAGCCAAGTCTCACATCTTGAGCTCTCCTGGGTTAGTCACTGGTGACTTATTTATTGTTTGGTATTTCCTTGAATGTTCTTAATGCTTTTGAGCATATGTTCATGCTTGGGAGTTGAATAAGTGGGTATTTATTCCAGTCTTTGCAGTCTGTTCTTGTTGTACTTGTCCTTCTTGAGTCTTCCAGAAATTCCAAGAAATTCAAGACTGTTGAGTTCCTCAAGCCTGTGGTCACTGCAGCTGTTTCAGCACCAGAGGGCACCTTAAGCTCAGGTTCACTGTGACTTCTGCAGACTGAGGTCCCTGGTGGCCATGACAGACTTGGAGTAGATAAGGGAGTGGCTCCCTGGGTTCCCAGGCAAAGTTCTTTATTTACGTGCCTCCTCTTCTCCTTGCAAGGAATCTGGGCACCAAGCTTTGTGGATCTGGGAGAAGTGTGATTTGGGCACTCTCATGGCCACTGCAGCTGGCATCACACACCCAAAGCCCACAGCCTCCCAGAACAGAGCAGCACTGGGGCTTGTCTGAGTCCTGTGACCAGTATATTGCCTCACTGCTGCTGACTGACTTAGGTTTCTAAGCCAGGTTAGTCTGCTGGTCAGGGTTTGGGTCCATCCTGCCTGGGATCAGGGCCACAGTGTTCTGCCTGATACTGTGTCCACTGTGGTAGGGCTTGATACTGGGTTCTCCTCTTTCTTGCATAGGGAAGGAATTCTCTCTGCATTGCACTGCCTGGAGTTGGGATTGGGGTAACACAGGCAACCCTGTGGCCACTGCAGCTGATGTCATATACGAAGCCCACAGCCTACCTGACCAGCACATCGTTGGTTACTGGAGCTCACCCAAGGACCAAAGTGACTGTGGCCTGCCTGTCACTGACATTTATTTGGGGCCTGAGGCCACTTGAATCAGCTGGTAGTGAAGCAAGTCAGGACTCAGGTTTGTCCCACCAGGGCAGTGGATTCCCTTTTAGGCCAGGTCATATCCAAGTGCTCTCTCTGTGCGCACTGGCCTGGAATCAAAGGCCATGGGGTTCTGCCCAGTGCTGTGCTTTACTATAGCAGAGCTGGCATTGGGCTCCAAGGCAAAGTCCCATGGACCCTTCCTTGTTCCTTTTGCTAGAAGTGGACACATTCTCTGTACTGCACTGCCTGGGGTTGAGGGAGGGGCAGTGCAGGTACTGCAAGACTGTCTTTTCACCCTCTTTAATGTGTCTTCTCTTGTTTTTAAGGTAAAACCACGTTCCGTAATCTGTCACCTGATTTCTTTAGCTCTTGTGAAGGTATTCTCTGGCTTAGATTGTTGGACAGTGGTTGAATTTAATGTTCCAGCAGAGACACAATCACTGAGATTCTATGTTCCATCTCCCTCCACCTCTTCTCATTTATTTA